TGACCTGTTTTTGATGAAAGCAATTCCCTATCCGCATCTAGGCTCATTTTGTGCAAAAATTTTCTCCGCTCGGACGTAAGACCTTAAGTGAACTATCTGACGCTTTCAACTCGCGTTCATGACAAAGAGATGGGCAATACGTCTTTTGCAAAACCACAGAGTGATCCATAAACAACGTTTATGCAACAATGGCCACCAAATGACACTTTCAACTGTTTCTGACAGGTGGAGATGCAATGCTCGAAAGTGTCGAAAAGAAATCGGTCTTCCAAAGGGAACTTGTCTGGAGCGGTCTAGGAAGGAGTTTAGGACAGTAGATCTATTCATTTATTGCTGGTCCGATAATTTGACAAAAATCAGATTCTTCTGAGAGGAATTATCTATTAGCTACACGATCACTGTTGACTGGAAGAAATTTCTTCGTGAAGTTTGCGCCTGACGGCTTTTGCAGACTCCAGCAGTTATCGGCAGCCCAGGTCTACACGTCGAGATCGATGAAACGCTAATATTTCGCCGTAGAAACCACGGAGGGTGAGTTCTTCCCCAGCAGTGGATTTTCGAAGGGATCTACCGGGAGACCAAAGAGGTGTTCATGTATGTAGTGCCAGGTCGAACTGCGGCTACTCTAATGAACACAATCCAGGTCTGCCTCACTCGCGACTCAACCATCAGAAATGACACTTTCACATCATACCAAGGAAGTGAAACAATCCTCTTTTTTCTATTTTTTTTTTGGGTGGCGGGGGTTAATTTTTGGCGGGGCTTATCTGGAAAAGATCCCAAGTAATCGTCCTAATGTCTTGCTGTTCCCGGGAAGCCGACAGACCTCGATCCGGCCTTGATAGAACATATTGGACACACAAGTCACCTCTGTCGTACTACAAAATCTGGAATTTAGAATGTTCTTTGTATACCATTCAAGAAGTTTGTTGTATCCCTTCACCTCCCCTGACGCTACCGGGTTACGGACAGAAAGTACTGTGTATTAATACAAATACGGTGTTCTATTTATACCATCCACTGGCGACCATATTTGGTGATCGATCCGTTCTCAACCAACCAGTGTGTCTTCTGCACGCCAACACAGGCTCTCGAGCCGCTGTTTTCGTTGTCATGGTTTGTCATAGGTGGCCGTCTGTGCGCTTCATTTGGAAATCCCTACCTCCCAATGTTGTACATTCGCCGAGTTTAACCATTTTCAAGAACAATTTAGATGCATATCGTGTGTCCAAACCGAATCTGGAACTGTTTAACTCCATGTGATACTCAGCAAACATTACGCATATTTTTGCGTCCCTTTGTATATATACGTTCACCCTATGGTCGTTGTAAAGTTAACTGCTTTTTAGACCATTAAACCTTGAATTACCTTGAATTCAGTACGGAGTGCACCTGTTGCCTTGAGCATCACGTGGGCGTGAAATGCTCTTTCGACCTTGCTCCGGCGCATGAGAAATCAGAATTTATCCCGGTCAACGGTCTTCCTGTGCGACACCTGGCCGAAGCACGGAACTCGTGCTTTCATAAAGGAAACTACTCACAAGGTTGCTGAAATCTTTTCGACAGCCCACGACCGTTTTCATTCTTCTTGTTGGAGCTCATCAGGTAGGCTAAGTCCCCTAGTTTCCGTCGAATTTATGTTCTACTTTAACCGAAATTTCACAAAATCAGCGAAACAACCATTCGCAGATGCATCTGCCGCCAAAACTAACTTGGCATGCAAAGGAGTGTTCGTTCTCTTTACTTAGGCGTCTTCAGATGAATTGAGCCATTAACTGTTGTTGGCTTACTGGTATGAGATGCCAAGCAAACCGCACTTTACGGTCCATAGCACAACTAACGCGAATTATTTTCATCGAATCATTTCCTACGTTTGCTCATAGTCAATCTTCACCCTCTCCGGGTCCCATGACTCCACACCAAAGGAGGACCCGTGTTTCGAGATGTTAGAGCCCATCAGTAGTGCTCTGAACTCCGGTCGTCTGACATGTGAGGTGAGCTTATTGTCACTAACCTACGTTGGACCCACCTGAGCTATCCTACAGTAGTGCTCTGAACTCCGGTCGTCTGACGTGAGGTTGTCACCAAACCACGTTGGACCCACCTGAGCTATCCTGTTGGAGCGGGCGAATGTCGCTCGCACGGAACGATATGATTGGTTGGTTCGACGATTCGATCAACCAACCAGTAGCTGCCTGACTGTGTAGATCGGCTCACTTCGTGGCACGTCCCAGTCAGCAAGCGCGTCCGTGCGTCCTTTCTGACTGGGAGGTCTTGACAAGCGGGTCAATCGATCGATAAAGCCAGGACAGTTACCGGCTCATCGCTCGAGCCATTGTGTCAACCACTCATGTTCCTTGAGCGTGAACACATTCATGTTCCGACTTGATAATTCAACCGCGTATAGCGTGCGTTGGTGGAGTAGCGGAGTAGCCCGCCAATGTTACACAATATTGATGAGCTCTAACGATAGTGAAACTCGAGAGCCGTGCCTCCGTTTTTTGGTGTCGATTCATCAGAAAACTCATTTTTGTTTTCATGGAGGTTGCTGAAAACCCCTCGATAGCCCACGACCGGTTTCGCCCCTATTGGGGCTCATCAGGTAAACGCAAACCCCGAGTTTCTATCAACCCTATGTTCTACTTGAACCCAACTTGGACTGTTTTCGAGAAATACACTCATTTGCAAATCAATTTGGTTTTCATGAGAGACCCATCTGAATCGTTTATAATATTCTTCAACTGAATGTGCTGCACACAGGCCGCCTCATGTTTTAGTTGGTACGATATTCGAGATATCGCAGTATATTTTGATGGAGGAATACACTCATTTGCAATTCAATTTGGGTTCAAGTAGAACATACGGTTGACGGAAGCTCGGAGACTGCGCCTATTTGATTAGCTCCAAATAGGGTGAAACCGGTCTTGGGCTGCCGAGGAGTTTTCAGCAATCTTCTGAGTAGTTTCTTTTATGAAAATATACTGCGATATCTCGAATATCGTGCCCACTGAATCATGAGGCGGCCTGTGTGCAGCACATTCAGTTGTAGAATATCATAAACGAGAGATTCAGTTGAGTCTCTCGAGAAAACCAAATCGATTTGCAAATGAGTGTATTTCTCGAAATTCATTTTTGTTCTTTTTCGCTCCTCCAATTCAACATGCGCCGCTGTTATTCCTATCGCGTTCGAAGACGGTTGTGGTCACGGCCCGATCCAATGCTCCACTCAGAAATCGCTCAAGTGACAGGCACAGGTGTATATCACGCTCGTGTGTCATCCGTTTTTGTCGTGATTAGCCAACAAACTGTTTGATCTTGCTACAGGACATAAGAGCAGGACAGTTGTCAACTGACTGCGTTTCAAATAGAGTGTTTTGCCCAAATGAATAATATCGGCCCCAAAGAAACTGTCCAATGTATGCTAGATTGTCCGCTAACATTGAACTACGCTATCGAGATAAACTTCGCGTTATTGGGTTACCAGAAAGTTTTCAAGAAGTCAGTCACTAATGCTCAAATGCAATACAAGACGTGGTTTATATTTCTGTCAGTTTCTGAGTAATATTCTCTCCTAACTTAGCTCCTTTGTTTGTATACTTCGTTAGAACGAAAGTCACATATGCTCAGCTGAGGCGTTTAGTGATTTTTTATCGATCAGTAAAGTGCACCATACGAGCGACTGTCAATTTAATAGAACTACTTACGTTTTTATTGGAGCATCCAATCCATCGGTCATCCAAACTGTGAGCGTAAAGTCAACAGAACGTCAAATAATTTCATCTGCCACGCGTAGACTAATGAGTCACAGAATCGATTATACTAAAGTCAGACTGATATCTTGATATCGAGCGAGATTACGGGATAGTTGATCCGGTAGTCAAGTGAGCAAGGTCCTAGACTGTGGGTTCAATGAGATTATCGAAGGGACCTTCGAATTGGCTGCAGAATCAGGTTGGTAGTACTGTTCGCTATAATGTTCGTACATTTCAGCCCAACGATCGATATCGTTCCGTCTCCAAGATAACTTCGTCCATAGGACGCACAATGGGCCCACCGATTTGCACTACAAGTCAGAACAGGTTTGTTACGTGTACAAACTCACCACGAGGACTTTGTTTAGAGAGAAAAAACAACGCTATTGAAAACATCAATTTTCATGTGCGTGTGGGCTCCTGCAGCACTTGCTAACTTAGGTTGTATAAACCAGCGTGAGGTCATATTTCGTCAGTTGGTCCAAGAGACTGAGTTCCGGCTTTTGCCTGAGTTAGCAAATGAGACGTAACCATATATTTTTGTAATGCACTACTCATAAAGTTCCTGAAAATCCGTCGGCAGCCCACGACCGGTCTCGCCCCTCTCGGGGCTCACCAGGTAGGCGAAATCCTCGAGTTTCCGTCAACTTTATGTCCTAATTGAACCCAAATTGCAAGAAATCAGCGAAATACGCTCATTTACAAATTTGAGAGACTCACCTGGAACCCAGCAGAACCTTTCCGTTGTGATGTTTTCAGGCAACTGAATGTGCTGCACTAGGCGGCCTCATGTTTCAGTCGCTACGATATTCGAGATATGGCGATACCTGTGGTGGNNCAAAACCGAGAGATTCAGCTGGGTGCCAGGTGAGTCTCTCAAAAAAACAAATTAGTTTGCAAATGAGCGTATTTCCCTGAGATGTAACCATATTCTCTGTTTCCCTCTCTCTTTCACACACACACACACACAACCAATTATGACTAAGGAAATGAGGTTTCATTAATCAAGACTCAATGAAGAACATTAAAGGCATTCATTAAACACGAATCCTAGGGAAATTCTACGCTGGAGCACTTCTGGCGCAAAATCGCACGCTTTCAATTCAGAAGACCGCGAGTCAAGCCGGATATGTTATCGCTGAACTCAGATCGTTTGAACTACGGTTCTGTGCACCTTAGATACAATATTTTGGAACGTGATTAGCGTAATTTGTACCAGGCATTCACCTGTACGTTTTTTCCACACAGCTTCTAAATTCTGCTTGAAGGGAGCGCAATGTAGCCAGCTGACAGCGGAAGACTTTCGTATTGATTACAGCGAAAACGCATTATTGACGGTTGCTGCGGCAGACCTGACGAGCCTCCATGAGAATCTTGGCCTTTGGTATCCACGAGCCACTATGCCGTGATCGGATCAGTTTGGTTGCAAGCCAGAGGTCCTTTCTGTGTCCAAATCGATGCCTTCTTAGTGGGCGGAATGAAATGAAATGCCGGTCATTGCGTTTGCCGCACTCTGGAATCGACTTCTTATGATACTTATGACGGTTAACACGTCGCTTTCATTCATCCCCCAGAAAAATACGTTCAGCTGTACCACCCTTCCGGTGCCTGGCGGCCATGCCACCCGAAGGAAGCATGAGGGCTGGAATACTGCCAGGTTGCCCAAGCCAAGATAGGGGAAGTTGACAGGCAGAGGTCGGGTTCGAACCACCGATCTTCCGGTCAGTAAATTCGCGCTCCAACCACTTGTGCCATCTTGCCCCCATCATGCCCCAGAGCATGGTTGAATGCCCCTTTGTCATTTTGTTCACTCCTAGCGGTACAGCTCTTCAGGTTTGCCACCCAGTGACATTTTTCATGATCCAACGTATTGATTTTGAGTTTAATAACCCTTGATGCGGATTTTAGCTTGAAAACTCAAAAGCCAGATACAAAAATAAGATATCTGTACTTCGTAATGTACTACTCACAAGGTTGCTGAAACCCCGTCGACGGCCCACGAAGACGGATTTTCAGCAACCTTATGAATAGTGCATTACGAATAACCATGTATTGCGATATCCCGAATACCACAGCGACTGAAACATACGGCGGCCTGGTGCGGCACATTCAGTTGCCTGGAAACATCACAAACGAGAGATTCAGCTGGGTTCTAGGTGAGTCTCTCGAAAAAGCCAAGTTAGTTTGCAAATGGGTGAATTTCGCTGACATCCGCACTTCCTTTCAGTTTTCAGCGCTTACTGACGTTATTTTCATACGTTACACGGCAATCGTGCGGCGTTTAATCGGACTTGATGCTAAACTAAAATGCTTGTCTACTAACAAAGGAAAACCATTGTACCAACGAGTTAGATCAACCCATTTTGTTGTGAACGTCGAAGTTCAACTTGGCGTTAATAATCGGGTTAGTTGGTTCTCCCTCGTTCCACGCATCCCTCTTTTTTAGCAAGATTCACACACATATATATCATCGTGCTTCCGGAACCGAGGTCTTATTGCAGAGCGATATGGCTGCAATATACGAATATATAGGACTCGGTCGGTATTTTACTTTTGGCGTCAAATCGGAGTGTCCCTGAACTTCAACGGACGTGTGAACCAGGCTACAGTACGGGATGTCTTTTGCAGGGTCGTGACACGAGAGTTCTGTGAGCAGCGGAAATGAGAATTCATCAGGTCTTTGGGAACCTTTGTTTCAGAACTATAACTCGTGTAGGTTTATTTCGGTAAATATGTAATGAGGCAGTTTGAAAGCGAGTGCAACAGGGGCTTCACTAGAAGAATGCGCCTAGGACCAGATGCTGCGTTTGGTAGGCCATGTATTGCGCATGCCCAACGATCGTTTGCCGAAAAAGTTGTTGTTTCCTGTGGTTAATTCAAAGTGAAGCAAGCCCACATTTGACCAACCGTTAACCTTCTAGAGGAGAATGCAAACGAGTACAATAAGCCTGTCAGTGCTACTTACCTTCTCAGATGGGAAGGATCACGTGATTCTCACTGTGCAAGTCATATCTGTTAATCAACAATGTAAATGGCGTTTTTTGTCAGTTTCTATACAAATCGCCTAAATGGGCATCTGGATGTGTAAGCACCTCACAAAGACTGTGTTTGGCTACCACCGGGTCCCCGTCATCCACTTTTACCATCCTCTTCAAGATAAGGCATTCTAACAAATCACAGTTGTATGGCAGCGAGGCACCAGTGCTGAACGCTGATGTTTAACACTGATTTAACATTCGGTTCGCTGTCTTCTGTCGTGATCGCTTTTCTCGTAGCTCCTGACTTAGTCCTATTCGAATCAGGTCTCATTAACACTGCTGGCTAATGACCCACAGTTGCCTTAGTGATGCCGTCATTCAAGGGTTGCTGGGCTGGTTTGAGGAACGTAGCCCACGATCTCCATCACATCCCTGAACAGCTGACCTGGAGCGGCACGTTTGTAGGCAAATGATTGGGTGGCCATGTAAGGTCATTTGATACTCAAGGACAGTCTGTTTATCGATCTTCCATTCAGTCACTTGTCATTGACCTACCAGGTTTGTGACCATTTGCTAACGTCTTTTCATTGGCCTCAGTTGTTTCGACAACCTCGTGAGTTTCTAGTGGAACTACCGACCCTGTTGGATCAGGCGTCCATGGAGAGTGACAATAACAAAAGCAGGCTAGTTACTTCTGGAACCGACAGCCATCTTTCATAAAGTTAGCAATCAATACTCAGTACACCATGTGAACAAGGTGTGGACAGGACACCTGTGCCAGATGTATGAACTACATAAAAAACTCTCGACAAATGACATTAGTTATATTTACTTAGGAAAATTCTCAAATCATTCACGGGATTATGGTCTCATTCGAATCATTCTTGTTTCCGCAACCAATCACGCACTCGGACGAGTGACGGAGATAAAACCGGGTGAGTAGATCTTTCCTTTTGATGGTAAATCGGAATACCTGAGTACTGAGACTGGAACACACACCCTCCGTAATCATAGCGAAAGTCATGTGATTTTTGGTATCGATCTACAGGAATAGGCTGCTGTGTAAGAAGTCAGCTGATCCTCATCAACTTCACCGCTGGTTGTTGCTTTCCGATATCTGCGATCAACCAATAATTGTTTAATCGAATGAACCAATGGCAGACAACTTGGGTTGGTTGAATGAACCAAGGTAAGTCAGAGCACCTGAGTTTACAACCATGATTGTTTCCCTAATTCCTTCTGGTCAATGCAGATCGAAGTTATACAAACCTCAGAGTAAAGGACTCATAAACTGTTGAAAGGAGATACCTTTTTGAATCACGCTGACTGTCTAATGGAATCTAGCCACAGATCACCTGATTTGGGGTCTAAGTCGCACGATTCGGTAAGCCTTCCGAACTCAAAATGTGGTTTACAGTTACCAAGCTGGTACTCCTAAATTCAAAGGCTAAACTGCCGGTCAAGCCTGCAAGCATGATCATGTATGTCTCAACAGCTGGGACGTGGGACAGATATGAGTCGCTTGACCGATTCTAACATTGCTTTTAGAATATTCTACCAAGCGTCTACCTATCCCTTCAGAGTCATTATTTGGCCAAGGCTGAAACTAGTGCGATTCGTTCATGCAGTCCGAGTCTACTCAGTGAGAAAAAAACTCGTAATCCAATTGAGACTGCCCTGGTGAGCTCACGTGACTTCTGACCACTCAGGCCAGTCAGCTGTGATGTGAACAGTTTTCACGTTTGGGTTCAGAAACCCCGTCTATCTTTCCTTCACTTGTGTGTAATGTTCATTTCTGGTTCTGTAATGACCAAAAGCGAATAACAAGAGATTAAGCTAGTTTTCTTGCCTGGGGTGGTGTACAGTAGGAGCGAAACCATTCAGGCGTTTTGAACACTAAAAGGCGCAATTTGTGTTCTGATTGGTTTGGAGGGGGGGGGTGTTCGAAGGAGTATATCTGCCACGTTCTTTAAACAGTATGGATGTATGATATAAACCCCTCGTTGAGTTAGAGCCTATATATCAGCTGTCTAAAAGTCTTTATCAAACAGACGTTCGCAACTGATCACTAAGTTATTCAGCAAAATTAATTCCTCATTAAGTAGGGTGGGGTTGATGAGCCGCACCGAGTGCTACTGAGTCCGAAAACCTTCTAAACACGAGACATTCAAGACACTAGGCGTTATTTGGATCTTACCGGTTCATGACATCCTTTTTGAGTTTATGGTGATTAGCTGAAATTTTCTGCTCCGTTACCGTGTTCGAAACCTCATACGTGTGTTGGGGAGGCCGGGTTGAAAACCAGAACAGATGTAAAAGTATCATTAAGCTGCTGAGTTTAGAGCACAACTTCAAATGAAATATCATCAGTCCGGCAACTGTAGGGCACTTGGTTCAACAAAAATTATTATTTACCTGCGAAAATAAATAACCATTGGCTGGTTTTAAGTTTTTTTTACAATTCAGTGCCATTCGTGAGGTTCGGGGATCCATTCTTCCCGTTCACAGACGGTGCCAATGTCTTAAACAGCATGTCTTGGAAAGCTGGCCAGTCTCCTTCCTCTATAAAGTGAGATTTTAGTTTTCGATCAATTGAACAAAAATTTGGAACCGATTGAGAAGTTATCGTTTCAGAAGGCTTAGTAGGAACTGCCGACTGTCTACCGAACCCTTCCGGAACGATAAAAAGTTAGTATTCCATCCAGATCTGTCTTGTAACAATTTCCAGCCCAACCACCAACCAGTGCGTATGGACAACTGCCAAATGATCATCGGTGAACGAAACTCTGGCAGCTACAACCACTGTACGGCCAGTACGTGGTTTCTTACAGCTGACCAACAGCCACATTTTCATAGAGGAAACTACTCACAAGGTTGCTGAAACACTTCGACAGCCCACCACCAGTTTCGTTCATCTTGGGGCTCTTCAAGTAGGTGCAGTCCCCGAGTTTCTGTTAACAACCTTATGTTCTACCTGAACCCAAATTGGGCTGTTTTCAAGAAATACACTCATTTGCAAATCAATTTAATTTTCAGAAGAGATTCAACCGAGTCTCTTGTTTATGATATTCTACAGCTGAATGTGCTGCAGACAGTGTATTTCTTGAAAACAGTCCAATTGGAGCTCAAGTAGAACATAAGGTTGTTAACAGAAACTCGGGGACTGCACCTACTTGAAGAGCCCCAAGATGAACGAAACTGGTGGTGGGCTGTCGAAGTGTTTCAGCAACCTTGTGAGTAGTTTCCTCTAGATATCTCGAATATCGTGCCAACTGAAACACGAGGCAGCCTGTGTGTAGCACATTCAGTTGTAGAATATCATAAACGAGAGGTTCAATGGAGTCTCTTGTGAAAACCAGACTGGTCAACAGCCAGTTACCTGCGTAAGAAAATAAACAAATAGTGTAAAGAAAGCCATTCGTATTTTTTTC